ATCAAGCCACAGAAAACTAAGATGAAAAAAATGTAAAATATAAAATAACAGAGACCGTATTCAAAATTTGAATTGAAAGAAAATGTCAGTTTCTCTAGTCTGTAAAGATAACTTCAGTGAATTAGTGTTCAACTGGTATAAACAGGCAGGAAGTAGAAATAGCAGGCAATGCTAATCTCTTGGGTGATTACAAAGATGTAAATTAAAACCACTGGAAGGTAAAACCCAATTTTCCATTAAACTGGAAGATGTGGTGATATGCCATGCCTAGCATTTGGCAGGACTTAGTGACTTAGATATTGTATTGATGGCATGAAGAATACTTGCTTTTTGGGGTGGTGGTAGTGATATTGGGGATCGAACCTAGGACACCATACACAGGAGGTAGGTACTCTACTTATATCCCCTGCTGCAGCCGACTTCCATATTTCCTGAAGGAAATGTAGCCAGACATGAGTCGCTAAATGAAATCATTAAAATGATCATGTCCTCTTTGCCTGCCTTACACTCTTCAGGGGGAATGTATCAGTGAGGGACCTGGAAATGGGGAAAGATTTCCTTACAGAGTTAGCACCATATTACATATTAGTCCTAAGATTGGGAAACCGCACACATACTCAGTGCTCAATTATTTGGAAAAATCTATAAAAATGGTAAACTAATGTGCTAGAATATATATGTATTATGCATGCACACACATATAGTTATCAGAAAAATGGATATGGAGAATTTCTATGAATATAGAAAGAAGTAAATGAGACAAAAATAACAATAATAAATACCCACTGAAGCCAAACTGTGAAATCACTTTTGAGTGGATTTTAGGGTCTTCAGAGATGAAAAGAGGTCATTCTTCAGGGCAGAGGTTCTGTTATGTACTTGGGCAGAAGTGGTCTACAGAGCTTGTTAAGTCTAGGGCATTTCGAATGTCATTTGGGGTTTAGATTCTCAATGCTGCATTTGAACAAAACTCCTTCAGTAATGCTAACATAGGCTGTGTGTAGAAAACACTTCGGTAAAACAGCATGGTGCTGCATGCTGGGAATATTTCTAGTTCATCTTTGTGGCCAGGTTTTTTCACATGCACAATAAAATATTAAAGAGGACATTTTCAAGCTCTCGGTAGGCTCTTGCTGCAAATAATAAATACATTCAGCTATACTTGTGGTGCTGACAAATTCCAAGAATGTGTATGATTTCTCCCATAAAATGAAAATGCTTTAGGCATAGCATGAATCAAGTTGAGATATGGGAGTGCCAGCTGCAGGTTAGGCCCAATCAACAGAGTATTCAGTACCTACCACTTGCCATTCCAACTCCACCCCAAGATCAAAGGGCACCTCAGAACCCTCACTGCCCTATCGAGCCCCAGCAGAACCTCACACAGGCCCCTCCTACTTGCATGCTTTCTTTAGCTGGCTCCCTGGATGCCATCCTTAGCTTTGGCCATCCCTCAAGCATCCCTGTGGCTCCTTCTTGGTCCTTTTTGCTATTCCTTATGGCCTCTCTTACATCACAGGACCATCTTCTCACATCTATCAACATTCTCTCCTAGTGATTTCAAGAGCCTCACAGCATGAACTAGCCCCTGGATGATGTAGATTCTTCTACATGGGCATCTCTCCTAAAGCTCCCATATGCCATTCTCTTTTGACTCCTCTCAAATCCCTATTGGTATTCACAGACTCGATGCACCCAAAAGTAAGCTCATCTCAGCTGCTGACAACTGCGTTCTTGCAGTTGCTGAGGCCATTGACTCTCGTGTTACCTGACTTAACATTTTCTCTCTCCTCCATGATAAAATCTCACTGGTCCTTCCTTCAAAGTGAACCCTTGTGCCCGGCTCCACTGCTGCCAGGCTGTGTGGGTTCTCTGCACCTCTTTGTGGTGACTGTTGGAGCGTTCTTCCTTCCCTCCCTCTGTGCCAACTGGGCCTCCACCTCAATCTGCTCTCTCCACAGTACCTGAAATGACCTTCCAAGGCCTAAATTCAGTTGTGGAATCCAGGTGCTCAAGTCCCTTAATAGCTTTCGTCTGACTTTAAGTACAAACCAAAGCCCTACCCTTACCATGAACTGATCCCTGACCCATGACCTCTTGCTAGTCCCATTTTCTCCAGCTCAGTCATACTTTCTTTCATGGAACTCCTTAAAACATAGCATCCTTTCACCATAGAGTCTTCGCAATCACAGCTTCCTCTGTCTGCAACGATTTTCACTTCATCACATGTCCACATGGTATCCCCATTTACTGCACTCTGTGTGCGTGTGCGTGTGAGTGTGCATGTGTGTTTGTGTATTCTTACCAAAAAATGTAATCAATATAAGGGAACTTCTGGTTGCTATCTTCTCTTTTTCTCATTTTATGTCACAATGGCCTAGAATAGCACTTGGCACAGTAGCATTGCATGAATGAAACCGTGAGGTCACATGACGACAAGGCGTCATTGAAGATAGCAATTTAATGCATTGATTTCACTGGCACTTGAAGAGATACAACTTTCTATTAATGCTCTTCAGCTGCAGATAAAACCAGTATCAGTTTGTCCTAAGGAATACCCCCACCACAGCACCTGGAGGAACCAGGGAGGAAATTGAACACTTCTGCCTCAAACCATAGTCTAAGCAGAAAGAAGGTCTCACCTGAATGCTTGTAGCAGGTAAAAGTTTAGGTCCCCCCCCCTTTAAAAGACCAGGCTTGGAATCACTCATGAACTCCAGGCGTCTTCCCCACATGCCCACTAGACACCATAGGGAAGGTCAGAGGACAATAATCAACTCACACCCTGCTTACATCATAGAAAGATTGAAGCGCTAGAAAAACATCTGACTATTCCTCCTTTTCTCCATCTTTGCATACTTCTTGGCTTCACAACACCATCAAATTGTCTTTCCTCGGTGAGCTACTTCCTTTTCAGCCCTACTAATCAGTCTCAATACCATTATCCCTACATCCGAATAACACCTGACTGCGTATGGTGATTCCTTAGTACACCTTTGAATAATTAAGGAATGACCTAGAGTTTAATAAGCTCAGAGATTCTCTACAAATAAGAGAGGCTCACTGAAGTATTAATGCAGATTGGAGGTAATAAAAGTATTAATTAACCATCTTAAGAATGTAATTTTGTTTAAAAAAAAATAAAGGAGGTCGCATATTTTCATCCATTTAGAAGCCAGAAAGGACACAGCTTCTCTTCTGTTTACCCCACATTAACACAGTCCGAGGGGTAGACATGCAACCCACGCAGTGTGTTTAGTACCAGCGAGAAGTCCTGGCTGAGGTCTGAGCACCAACTCCATGCGCCAGAGACAGATTTCCAAACCCCATTCTGACCTGCACAATGAAGCCAATGGTCTTTCCTTCTGTTTTCTTTTTAAAATACTATTATATGGGTAGAATAAGAATGGAACTAAAGAGCTGTTTTAACCAAGAAAATCCAACTTTATGGTCATGTATTGTCTACTGCTCTCTCAGTACTAAGTCACCCGAAAAGTTCAGGGTGCTGAAGAACTGTGGCCTTAGTATATGCTTCATTCACAGCTTATGAGGAAACTACTATGAACTTCTCAGGAAAAAAAAAAAAAGGCAACACACGTGACGATGAATGCCTTTGCTGTTTGCCCTAATCCTCTTCAAATGACAACGTTGGAAGCAAATGCCGGATGTTAATTAAAGATCTTATCAATTAATTAACTAATTAGTTTAGAGATGAGTTCTTGCTTAATTGCCTATGTTGGTATGGGACTCTTAGATCCAAGCCATCCTCCTGCCTCTGCTTTCTGCGGAACTGAGATTACAGGTACAAATCACCGCATTTCACTCAATTATCCTCCTTATACTCAATTCCTTCCTCCCAACATTGGTAAATGGAGCCAAAATCCACGCAGAGCAGGAATCAAGTCCAGCTGTACCTAGTTTGACATATTCCCAAGTGATGTCATTGCCTAAATAAATGCATCGATTTCCTGCTTAAGCCTTGCAGATCCCAGAAGAGCCACTCAGCTCCCTGATTTTTTTTCTGCACAAACTGCAGGAAGTCATTTCCAGATTTCATCCTAGCAAGGCTGTTTCCTTTAGTTCTTTACTTTGCAAATTTCCACCACAGCCCTTGATAGCTGTTTTGTTTTGTTTTGTTTTTTCCTCTTTCTCTCTCATTATTTTCCCACTTCAGATATAGACAAGAAAAAAAATGCCATTGGAGTCACTGGAAAAGAAATGACTAACAGGGCAATTTCAGCACTGTTCAACACCATTGCATCTGGTGCAGAAAGCTTGGGAACTACAAAACATTTACATTTTTAAATAATAAAATAAAATGCAATAATATAGAATAAAAACTAATGCATCAGATTAAACAACACAAATGAACAGAGGGAAAAGAGCCCATGAGAAGGCACAAGAAACAGAGACCCACTCTTTCACACACTTAAGAATCTCATAAAAAACGCTGAACTGGAAGCCATAATGTTCAGGCGCAGACCAGTTCAGGCCCTGTGCGTGCTGCAGTCCCTGTGAGTTCATATGAGCCTGGCTCATGGTGATTTAGAGGCCTCACTCTCCTGGTGTCCTCCATCCCCTCTCTCTGGCTCTTCTGTCATGGGGGTTCCCTGAGCCCCGAGGGAAGGGATTTGGAGGAGACATGCCATTTGGGGGGAGGGTTCCCCAAGGCCTCTCACTCTCTGCATACTGTCTGGCTGGAGGTCTCTCTATTTGTTCCCATCTGCTGCAGGAGGAAGCTTCTCTGATGATGGCTGAGCAAGGCACTGGTGATATTTACCACATTTTAAATAAACAAAATAAACTGATCGTATTTACCATATTTTAAATAACGAAGAAAGAACATCAACAAAACGCTAACAGCCCATCCAAGTGTATAGCGACGTGGCAATAAGCAACTTAGAGCACATGGTTATTCTAGAAATCCTCACTAAATGTTTATGCTGAAAAATTTTACAAACAGGGGTGGGGGGTAAGGGGGGGTGGAGCCACTCAGTTACCTGACTGATGTCACTCATCCATGCAGCTTTCTCCTGGCGCGAAGGTGCTAACAAGACCACAGTGAAAGGGGCAGCATCTGGAGGCTCCACTACGATTTTAAAATCCAGATGTCCAAACATGTGGCCAGAACCTTTGGCTTCAGTACACATAAAGCAAACGATTAACGTGAATGCAAGAGATATGAACAATAGCTCCTCCCATCTAGCCTTCTTACTGGGACCCACGTGCATTCAAGTCCACACTCTCATTTCAATGATGTGCTTCCGGAGCATGTGGAAGGCCTAGAGCATGAGCTGGTGGAGAAACTGAGGACAGGAGGTAACTCCAAACCAACCTTCCTGGTTTATGCTTATTTTAATTTCTATCATGTATAGAAGTCCTGGTTTAACTCAAACCCCATTTCCTCTTGGTCTGCCCCTAAAAAGACACTCTCATAATGTAAGCTCTGCAGAATGTCAGTTCTCAGAGATGGGGTTAAACAGGTAAGTGATTTTAGAGAATTTGCGCTCCAATCGCTTCTGCCTCCAAGGACAGTGCTTCGTAGCCATGTAAGATAAAGAGCTGCAGAATTTGACTGTTTTATTCTACCACTATTCCAGGAGATGGGACGTGACTTACAGTCATCATCACTTGCATCGGGCTCCTCAATCAACGTGCATTGTATGAGGGAGAGGACGCCGCCTGTCTGGAAACAAACGGATTGGTGATGAAGAGGTGGGCAGTCTTGTGAAGCTTGCAAAGTTCTGTTTTGTAAACTTAATATTCAGGTTGCCCCAGAGACGGCAATTCTACATCCTAAACAATTTTTCACCGAGTTCAAAACTACACAGAACAAGCAAATGAAAATCATTTAACTTTAACTGAATTCTTCCCACTCTCTCGCTCTTGCCCCCACTGTTTGTAAAATTTATGGAAGCCATCTATGGGAGATTAGATGGCCCCACAGTGACTTCAGAGAGTAGCCATAGCCAGGAAGTGTCTTAGGAAATACAAGGCCAATGTCATGGTATGAGTAAAATTTTTAAAATTTGTTTTATTATATGTATGCATGTGTGTATGCATGAGGCAATGCTATGGTACATGTGAGGAAGTCAGAAGTCAGCTGGTGGGAATCTGTCCTCTTCCTACCACGGGAGTCCCGGGAACTGAACTCAAACCATAGGGCTTGGTGGCCCTATGAATAATGTTTTTAAGCCACAACAGACGATAAATAACAAGTTGGCAAACTTTGCTGACAAAAGGTCAGATAGGAAACATTTTGGGTTCTTTGGGCCACATCATTTCTATCCTGAGCCCTCAGATATGTGATTTTAGTGGGAAAGCAGCCACGGGCGTGAAAGGTTATGTGCACATAGAATGCTATCACTAAGAACAGGTAGTGCGCGTTAGGCTGTAGTTTGATGGCTCCTGATACACAGTGAGATAAAGAGCAGCTGCCAACTATTCCATCAGTGAGTGCACTATGGTGGACGGACCCGCGATCTCTGACTCAGTAGTTGTCAAGTGATAATAATTTTGCCTAGATTTTGATTTTAATAATACTTCTTTATGATAATGCACACTTAAAATAAATTTCTATTGCCTCCAATCCAAATAATGACAAAGTAAATGCCGGAGCTGTTAGGCACATCCTGCCCCTCCCTGTACGATCTCAGCAATCTGTTTCATGACAATAACAGGCACTGGCGAATCAGAATCAAATTACCCTCAATACCTCTTCAGAGCTGGGGAGACAATGGAAAGAGCCACGGAGAAGCCGTACCTTGAGCAGATGCAGCTTTCCTCCCGAACTCCTTGTACAAATCAGAAAGTGTTTTGTAAACAAGAAGCACTGTCTCTCGCCTTCCTTTTTCAAAGACAGGGAGCCCAGGCGGACTTTACTAAGCTTCCCCCTCTCGACTGAAGGTACTTGAATGAGAGAACCTGGTGATTACAAGAGTGAAGAACAGAGACAGTTAAAATCTGGAGGGGACCATGCCCTGGGCAGTAAACATGAGGATCTGTCCCCCAAAATACCAAGGATGCATTTGCTGTGCCATAGGAACAAATGAATCTCCCCAATTCTAGCCGAGGAAAGAATTGTGTTGTATTTGAAGGGACAAGCTGTTCCTAGCATTGTTGTGAAACAATTTCAACTTGATTCTTCATCTACAAACTGTAATCTCAGTTTGAAAGAAGGCCAGCTTCAAATCAAAGCACTGAGATGCTGATGCCATCTATGATCTGACTGAGTAAATTTATGAATCGTATAATTATAGATATGAACATGACAGATAGTTTGATCAATGTAAGTGGAATTTATCCTTCCTGGAGCAAATAAAATAAAAGGCATATTAATAGTTTACTTTGCATTTTAAAAGTAGATGGTGTAATGCATGCATCCTGTAAAAATATATAAATTATATAATTCAGTGCAATTTAATTAAGGGCTATCTTCTTTGTTTGTTTTGTTTTCTTTGAGACGAGGTTTCTCTGTGCAGTTTTGGTGCCTGTCCTGGATCTCGCTCTGTAGACCAGGCTGGCCTCAAACTCACAGAGATCTGCCTGGTTCTGCCTCCTGGGTGCTGGGATCAAAGGCATGTACCACTACTGCCTGGCTAACTAAGGGCTATCTTAAAGGAAGTTATTTTAAACTATATTTAAATTATGTGCTATACAATGAACACAATTCTGTACAACTAATATATGCTAATAAAAATGCAAAAAAGTGCAATTAAAATGTATTTGTGACACCTGAATGGAAAGCAATCCACATCCAGAGCAAAGCTATGGTCTGTTCAGGATGAGAAGTGAGACACAGACTTCTGTAATATTTGTATGATATCTGGGAATGCCTCCAATTACTTGCAGACTACACTCTAGTAGAAACTTCCCTACTCCTAAAAAGAAAACTCCAGTCTATTAAATACAAACCACAAAGTATCAAGATTCTTGCAGACACCTTGACTCTAACTTCTGAAATCACTGGAGCCAGTAATAATCTGTGTAACCCACCACCCTGTGCAGCCATACACAGGCTCTCGTGAGCCCACAAGAACCACAAAATACATAATCAATCCTTAAATATTACTAGAGGCATCTCCCAGAGAAACAACCTTATTTTTCTTCATGTTTTCTGGTTTTTTTTAATTGAGCACAGATTAGTTCTATAATGAAAAGTGAGAAAAATCCTCAAGATTTTATATAAAGAAATATATACCTAAGGCAATAAAACTATGTGAATCACAAAAGCACCAGATTAGCATTAACTGATGAATGCTCCGAATTGCATCTTCCCATTAACAGAGCTGGTAAGACAGACATCCAGGACCCGGGTTTCCATGCCCCGATCTCACAGCATCTATTTAGGTAAGTGATTACCTAGATTAGGTGGGATGCTTGACAGACAGAAAGTAGGCAGCTCCTCTGGGCTCAGAGAATAGCAGGGAATCAGTCCTGGGGGAGGGTGTGGGAGTGGGGAACAAAGGGCCGAGAGAAGGCTTGAACCAGGGAAGGGGTTGGACAAGAGGAGAGTGACTGAAGGAGGGGAGGTGGGTGGGAGCAAACTGACAGACAGACGCTCAAGTAGCAAAGAATTAAATTCGAGATGTCGAGGGGGTATGGAGAAAGCAGAAGGCAGGAGGCTTAGGAAACTTGTGAGCAAGGAATTGCAGCAAAGAGTTGGCACTTGTGAGACTTGGGAGGGGTGGGGATTAACCCCTTCTGCATTTTACAAATGGGGAAACTGAGGCCTGAGTTTAAGTGACTCTCGTAAGGCCACACACATAGGTGCAGGACATAGTCAGACAATGGCGGGAAACTGAACAATGTAAAAACTGGAACTGGGAAGCAAAGAGAGGGACTAAGACAATGGTGGTGTTAGCCACACCCCGGGTAGTCATACTATAAAGTCAGGTTAGTCAGGGCTGGGTGGAAAGGGGCACTCGGGTAAGTGTCTGGGTGGACACATGGGCCACAGGGCCATTTGCAGAGAAGCTGTAACCAAATCTATAATCATGTGTTCATTGGCAAATACTTCTAGCAATTTAAAGCAATTTTCTAAATCAGAAATTACAAAATTTATGGTTAGCACATCTATTAGCAATTATTGTGAATTTCAGCTTTGAGGTTTAAAGACGTTTCCTTGGCAACCATATGCTACCACGTTAGACTATAACTGTTCGTCAAATAGACTATCTGCACTGGATGTGGACAGAAGTCTACTCAACTGAACTAAAAGTGAGAAATCTCAAGACTATTTAAGAAGTTTATAAAATAAACTATTTTATAAAATACAATACTTCAGAACTGTATTTTAAGTTGTCTTTAAGTCATCACATTTCATCCTTTATTTGATGTATTTCAATGTAGTCTTATGACTTTCAGAAAAGATTCCTCTCCAGTTAATGCAAGTTAGATAAATGATTAGTATTAGGGAAATGGTTATCGCATCCTCTTTATCAGACCCCTGCTGTGGCTCTGTCCTTACTGGGTAGCTAACAACTGAGGTCAACCTGCAGAAGACTTCTGCATCTCAGAGATGCAGACTTCTGCAGAGATTCTTTCATCTCTAATTCCCACAGAGTGGCCTCCAAGACTGGCCAATGCCTATATTCTGAATTCTACTCAGTAGTGAAAATGTGAACAGCAATTTTCAGGCCGTTGAGCTTGGTATCTGAGGTGGTAGAGTCACTGTGCTCTGTGCTGTGCTTTCTTACTCTGAGGAGGCCTTACTGAGGATCGGGAGGCGGTTATTTCTCTTGGAAATCATATAAAGTTGAAAGCATACGTGTGAAGATGCAAGCACACATACATCGAAATAGATCTTATATCACCCATCAGAGTGATTAACAAAAATACTAGAATACCACGAAAAATAACTTGTAGTCAGTTTAGTAGGAAATGAAAGCCCTTGATAGTTTAATGAATAATACTTGATAGTTTAATGAATAATACTTGATAGTTTAATGAATACTTCTAGAATGTGTTTTGTGGGTGTAAAAGCCTGTTACGGCTATTTAGTGAAAGTGCTGATAGGAGAAATTAAGGGAAAAGAGCTCAAACTTTCCCAATTATAATTGATTACTTTCTAATTTCAGATCAAATTCTGATGTTTAGGAACAACCTTTATCAAATAACTCCTAAATAGACTAACCAGGTCAAACACACAGCAAGATCAGCAAGACCGCTGTAGAGCAACTGATATTGATGACCTAGATGACCTAGATGTAGCATATAGCAGAATAAATAACATGTGGGTGTGGCTTAAGGGTGAAACAGTATATGATTTTTATTTCTTAAAGTGTAACAAAAAATGTGACTTGTTCAATGCATTGGACACTCAAACACATTTCATTAATTGTGGGTTTCTGTTTGAGAGTCATAAGGAACTAAGTTTTATAAATACATTGAGTGAATGTGGATACTAACTCTGTTCAATCAAAAGTACATTCAGAAAATGTATGTAAGTTACAGAAAGTCCCCTGTCCATTCTTAGATATAAAGTACAGATGAATTAGGAGACATTTTTAGAGAACTCTAAATACAAGAAAAATATAAATATCTTACAACTTCAATCAGTAACCTATCCGGTACTTCAATTCCCACTTTCCCAGTAGCTTTAGTAGACAAGGTGAGGCAAAGAGAATCCAGGGATGCTGCCTTTCAGAGCTTGCAGTTACTGGGAGAAGGAGGCATGCATAGATTCCTTTACACAAAAAGGACAGAATCCATGCTCCATTGGCAAATGAAAATGGAGAGGACAGTCAAGTCATTGTAACTTGAGGCAAAGTGGATGGGAAGATGAGCAAACTTCCAAAGACTTCTTATCTGGCCTGGACTTATTAGGTCAAGTGGACCTTTCATAGGCATAAAAGAGGCAGAGTAGGTCTTTCCCACCCCCAGATAGGGGGAGACAGAGGTGAAGGCTCAGTCAGGCAATGTACCTTGAGGCAGAAAGCCAGCCACCATAGGAACACAGTCCACACAGAGGAGCAGGACGGGAATTGAAATGGCCTGGTGTTGTTAGCATTGTACTCTACTATTACCTTAAGAAAAGTTAGTATGTAGTCTTGAAAATGGGAAGAGGAATTAATTCCTAAAATATATTCCCCAAATTTAGCATATGAGTAGTATCTCTCTTTGTAAATAAATAACAGACAATAGAATGGCATGTGTTAATCTTCTTAAGTATACTAGGCAAAAAATAACGTGGACTGCATAATGTCTTATTTCATGAGATAAAACATATTTTAAGCAGAATATTATGGAAGGAAATAGTAATAGCTTCAAATGATATTGGCACACCATGGCCAGAAGCAGCATTAATGATTAATTCAAGTTCCAAGTTTATGTTTCAGTACACACCAATTCCAAAACTATAAAGATATGAAGCAGAGTGCGCTGATTGCTCAGATCCAGCACATGGAGCATGCCCTCATCCCCCAAGACACCTAAGCCCTTGAAAGTGTCTTGGGAATGTGGCTAACTTCTTGCACTTTGAAAGAAGAGCTGAGGAGGGATATGCATGGTCCTTCTCCAGTGTTTGTGACACAGCTTCATCTCTTCCAAAGTTTAATTAATCAGGCGTTGCCCCCCTCACAAAGCACATGCTACACCCAGGATAGCTTCACCATCTCCAAAGCCTGGTAGGGACCTTTCCACCTGGTAACCGGAGTTATTGATTGAATTGAATTATTATATGTGGCACTGAGTCGGAAGTGCCAGGTGAGAGAGGGGGACGACAGACAGCTGTTTTCACTCCGGACATTGTCCCCTCTCTTCTGTTCAAGAGCTCTGAGGAATGCCAGTGTCTCCTGAGCCTCTGCCTGGATATCATCACCACTTGGTACTGCCATTCCGATTGGCCAGACCGACCTGTCCTCCTCGGAGCTGTAGAGCATGTCCGGTCCACTGAGGAGGAGAGTCCAGCCAGAGTGTGATTAACTGCCCCTCTCCTGCTTTACTATTATTGTGTTGCTGTTTCTCATGGCCCCTGAAAAGAAACAGCACAGAGGTGGGCCTCAACCACAGCCTTGGTCAAGGCCACGGGGGTGTCCTGCACGAACTGCACCAAACACATAGGCCTGCTCCAGAACGTGTCCCCGGATCTGCCAGAGATACCATGACAGACACACAGATCACATGAGTAGAGGGCCTGGTCTCTTGACCGGTCTTACCTTGGCGGATGAAAGTCTGGCTGGTGTCCAGCAGAATGTCACACCCCTCCACGATCATCCTTTCGATGGCGAGGTTTTTCCTGATGTTTTCAGTGTCGCTCACTTCGTCATGCATCACTCTGTCAGACACACGCAGAGAGGACGGTGGTGAGAGACATGAACTGTGGCTCGGGCAGAGAGGGAGGGATGGTGCCCCCTGACATGCTCGGGTCTGAATGTGAACGGAATTCAACTAGACCGTGAGAGAAGACTGACCTCCAGGCTTCAGCCAGCCACAGCCTAAAGCAAGGCCACACCGTGCGAGCAGATTGAAAATGGTAAGGGGACCAGCCATCAGTGAGTGGCAGAGCTCGCTTTGAATGCAAACGAAAGAGACCCAACATTTTACAGATGGCTCCCTTCGTTAACATTGAAGGGTCACCCCTCGAAGGCACTAAGTTAGAGACTGCTATACTACCTGTCACATTTCATCTGAATCATATTGGTGACAACCTGCCCATTCTCCAGCTTCTTGCAAAAATCTGAACACAAAAATGCAACAGAAAGCCATTTTTCTATTTTGATGGGAAAATGAGAGAAAATTTGCAAACTTAACCAAAATATACCTGCTCTCAACCATATGAATTCACATGCTATGAGAACTTTTCAAAGGTTTTTTTTTTCTTGATTAAAATGGATGTGAATGATAATTCAGTGCCATCTTTCACTCTAAGATGAAACTAAAATGTTGGATCTACCATTGGCTTCCCCTCCCTTGACATCCACACACCAGGTTTCTACAGGAGGCTACCACGCTGTTTCTTTCCCACTCTGACCCCTTCCCACAAGTTCCCTGCCTACCTGGACAGTTCCTCCAGCTTTGACTTAGCAAACTCCAGACTTTTCCTTTCCACGTGTTCATGGGGGGTGTGAGCCAGGAGTTCATGCAGCGTGATGATATACCTGGGGATCTAATATACACATAGGTGAGTGTGAACAAGAGGGCCTGGTGGATGACATGGGGACACTCACTACAGGGGCCAGCACCCTTGGAGAGCTCACCCCTATCCTTATAATTCTGAAGGTTTTACAGTCTTTAAAGGAATACATATAGACTGAACCAAGCTTCAAACCTCATACACCAAGGAAGTCTATGCCAAAAATGCAAGAAAAGTTGATCATAAATGAAGAAACCTAGTATAAAGGAGCCATTGTTTAAGTCTGTACAGAACCGTGCGTGTTTGAATCAGGGTTTCTGCAGACTGGGTCATGGGGAAACAGATATTGCTGTTTATCGAGCCACTTGAGTCTATTTGTAAAGGTGTGCTGTCTGTTTATATACTTATTTAAAAACTGACAGTCCTGCCAATGCTCTCTTGACAGTTGAAATCAGGAAGGATATGGTCACCCGTATTGACATTCCAATCCTATTTCATCTCACTTCACCCTCCAGCACTGCGAGTGTTGTTTGACTAGGTTCTTTCTTTGTGCTTATGGTATAAACAGTTTCTGAATTCTGTAAAAAGCAAAACTCCACCAGCTGTATGAGGCTTTTAGTAAACTGTAGTGGGTAGCCATTCCAGCTTTGATCTGGAAGTTCCAACCCCCACTGAGGCTTCGGTAACTGTCACACCTACAAAGTGAGGCCAAGAGAGGACCCTGAAGACCCGAGATCCAGATGCGCCGCCTCTCTTGGTTCCTGGACCCTGGACACTGGAGGTAGACCGAGTAGAGTTCTCCAGAGAACACCGCCAGACTGCGCTACGTCTTTCCCAGACCCTGCAACCTACCTATCCCTTCATTTGTAAGTTACGCCACTAAATAAACCTCCCTTTTAACTATGTGGAGTGGCCTTAATAATTTCACCAATAGTAAATGAGAGAAGAGATTTAACTCAAGTTACAGACTCAACATACTTTTCTCTCTCTTGTGCTCCTACAACAGTCTCTTAGAAAGTAAGGAACTAGACTTCAGAAAAGTGTGAGCAACCACTCCAACACACCGCTTTCTGTGGGCCCAGGAGAACTCTGAGCCTTGTGGACATGTCCACTCCTCCGGAAACATAAGGATTAGCTCTCCACTTGGCAAGTAAGGAAATAAACTTCAGGTCCAGTAACCTCTCTAAGGTGGATCTTAGGACAGAAAAGCCCTGTGTGTAGCTCATCCCTCCTGTCCTTGGGGTTGGTGGCTCTGTCTGTGGATGTGCCTTTGCTCTTCACCTGTGACTATCACGGGGCTATTTGCTGTTCACTCTTGAGTGCCTACTCGATGCATTCACATGGACAACAGTCAACATCAGTGCAGATGTGAACAGCAGCTCAACAGTAGAATCAAGGTCTTAGGAAACACAGGCCAGGATCCCTTGGTCAGAGAAGGGTAGGAAATAAGAGACCTCACTGCAGGACAGATGAAGGAAGATTCCTGCCTCTTTCTACAAACTTCTCACCAAAACATCCTTTAATACCATCTCACATGGAAAAGCCTCCCAGGACAAAGATGCTTACAAATAACTCTTTTGTTGACAATCCCATGATGGCTCAAACTATGCTAAAAGTTAGTACTTCCACAGAAAGCTGTCAACAGCTAATACACTCAGTTTTTCCTAACGAGTCCAGAGTGGGAGAGCCTCACTACTTACTGTGCACTGAAACCCCACAAAACTATGTTTAGTAAATGGCTTCATGCTCCTCCTCCATTAGTTAAATCTATTTTAAAGACTTCTCTGGCTAAAGCTCAAGAGGATGGAGTTGAATTCAGTACCTGGCCCCTTCCACTTTCTGGTACAGGGACAAAGAAATGTTAGCTCTGGCTGAAAGCAGGCAGAGGAGGCTCTGCTGAGGGGTGGGGGACTGCAAAGAGCTTGTCTCTGGAGTCAGGAGCTCACTGCAGAGTTTCCTCCAAAACGTCTAGCAATCACAGCAGCTATCAAAATGAATCATACTTCTACTTTCAATAAAGGAACAAATACTTGTCACTTTATAGACTTTAATTAGCTTGCTCTCCTCTCTCGGTTAATAGCTAAGCTAGAGCAGCGAGAGACTACACATCTCACAGCATCGTTCTCGGAGGGAGCAGATGTCATGACTGGCTTATCTGTGGACTTTCAACACATACACATCCAAATAAACAGATGAGCACCTGGAGACTGCTCGGACAGTACCAACCAAGGCACTGCATTCGCTAAATAAAAAAAAAATTTAATGACTCTATTTATTATTTCTATAACAAGTTGCTTGGTAACAATAGGACTTACTAGTTCTGACTGAATCATCCCAATTCCATAATTCCTACCTGTTTTCACAGTTCAAGGCAGCAACTGACTTAACAAACGCCCCAGGAAAACTGGGCATGGAGACCAGGAGCAGAGATCTTGCCTTGTGTGAGGTCTTGAGTTAAATTACCATTACAAAAAGCAGGGGGTGGAATGGGGGGGCGTTACTCTGTCAACTTCTTCTCTCTTCCATCATGCACAAGCTACAGGCTAAAAGCCTCCAATTCTAATCTCTCCTCCCACTCCCTCTGGCCAGACACCAACCTCTGCCTCCATATTTAAGCCAATGCAAACGTCTGGACCAGAGGTCCTCTGGCAGTGTAAAGGGGGGTCACAACTTCCACTGTTGCAGGGTGGGGGTGTGTGTCTAGCACTACCCAGGAGCAAGGTCAAGGCATGAAAGGATTACTTCAGCTCAATGTGTGTCAGGAAAGAAGCGACATCCCAGATCTTCTGAGGGTGCAAACACCCTCACGATGGCTTCACCCGTTAGTGAGGGACTATGAAGAGCAGGAGGATGAGAACTGAATGAGCTCAGGAAGAAAAACCTTCAAGTTTCCAGAAAGAGTTCCTCCCTCTGGTTGTTTCAAATGGTTTCTCCTTGGGGAAACTCCAAGTGATAAGAAGCCAAAGGACAGACCCTAAGAAACCCAAGGCCCATGGGCAGCAAATGGGCTTTGAAAGCTTTGAGTTAATTGACCATGGAAGAAGTCAGAGAGCATCACTCTCTGGTCCCTCACCTCAGTTTCAGGGTTTAGAGCTACCACAGTCAGGGCTGGAGGAGGTGGTTCTAGGCAGCCTTGCAATATGGCATGGTTACCCAACCCAAACTGTCCAAACCAATGACATCCACCGGTGATCACGGTCAAGATCTGAAGCAGTTAGAGATAACCAGGGCTCAGCTACCCCTATCAGAGACTGTGACAGTATCAATGAGAGGGAAGGCTAAGTATGTCATCAGGTCTCATCAAGACTCCCAGCTCCACACTCTTCTCTGACATGATGGGAATGCCTCCAAGTGAATCAAAATGCTTAGCCGTGGCTACTGGACTTAAACTCTGCAGGGGGAAGGAAGGGAAGATGGAGGAAGGTCCCTCCAAGGCTCAGCATTCAACTGCATTGAGAGGCCCTGTCCACAGTGCAGGTAAAGTTCTGCCAATTTACAACTCTGAGAGAATCACACCTTGAGGAATTAAAAAGCATGTGGAAGAAACATTGCGCGTAGGGAGCTTCATGCACCTTGAACAATTCTGTCTTTGTAGCCACCTGACCTGGGGCTGCTGACAGATGTGGTTTAGGGTGCTGAATCCTAACCTAGAGGTCGCTGCTGAAAATGTAAATAGCATCACAGAAGAGCAATGTATTCGTGAAGCTCTTCTCTGTCACTAAAACCTGAACTTCTGTCTGTGTATAGAGCAAAACAAAAGCGTGTCATTTTTCCTGGGAAATACTTCCTCAGAAAGGCAAAGAGTTCAAGCAAAATAGTTACATGATTTACATACATATAGATATATAGATATATCGTTATGAAGTTTCACTACTCTTAAGTGTTTTCAAATGCAACCTTTTGGTTTTTAAGACTCTTACTGAACTACCATGGCCACTTCCAAGGTTCCAAGCAGTACTGACAAACCCTAAGACAAACAATTATGGACCACAGACATTTTTCCCCCCTGAGTCTCCAAAAGGGTTACCCGGGGCCAATGCTGCCTGCTTGGAGGACAAAATGCTCCACAGTAACTATAACACACATGATGAGAAGAATCATTTCACCACATGACAATCGGGAGGCCTCGCCAAAAGCCCCATAAATTCCACAACAGGAACACTCACTGCCTTTCCAAAAGAACAGAATCCGAAGTTTCCAAAAGAACAGGAGACTCCATGCCCATTTGGGGTTCTGTGGGACTCCCTCAGGTTAGGGTACTTCAAGGGAAAGCCCTGAAGGCAGGGCTATGTGTGTACTTCATCCTGTAGGTCTCCCTAATCGCCAAGAATGAACGTCAGGGTATAGCCTTCCTTAAGAAGAGCCACATGACCAGGTCCCCACAATACCCAGGTCTAGCCAGTGCCTTCTAGCTCTGAGGTCTCCACAGGCTGTGGGATTAAGAAGGCCTTGTTTTGTTCTCCAAAGTTCCAGCCAAGAGAAACTCCACAGTAATCCTGCTGCAGCAGGAGAGGGCTTGAAAACGGAGACTTCCCAGCAGCCACTCCAGTTCCCGAGAACCTTTTATGCAACCAGCATAAACCAGTGCATCTGCAGAGAATCCTATTTCTGTGAGACTAATAATATTTTTAAACATGCTGGAGGTGGAGACTCCATGGAAGAGGTCTGTGTGGAATCATTCTATAAAGAGAAATTACTGCTAAAAAAAAATCATTCCTCAATTATTTGCCTCAAAAAGTGCTTGCTTTCTGGGCTGGAGATGTAGCTCATTGGTAGAGTCCTTGCCTAGCATGCTCAATGCCCTGGGTTCAGTCTCCAGCACTAGAAAAATGCCAAGATATCCTGATGGCTTATAGTTTGTAGTGCTGATCTAGAATCAAGGGCTTAGATGCTAAATCCCAAGTGGTGAGTTAGAATCAAGGGCTTAGAAGCTATATCCCAAGTGGTGAGTTAGAATCAAGGGCTTAGATGTTACATCCCAAATGGTTTACCTGAAACATTGGGTAGGTCAAGAATGTCTCCAGCATCCTCCCCTCACAGGCAGGATTGGCTTCATACTGTTTTAAGAGCTTGTCAAAATCTCTGTTTTGTTTACAGTTGGCAAGTACTTGGAGGCTGTACTGGTGATTACGCACAAATTCTTGATAAATGTTCAGCATGGGCAGCAAAATATCAAACAGATCAGCTGGAAGAGAGAAGAAAACATGGCTATTTCCCTTGGGGCTTGGCGAGTCTCCACAAAAAGCACCTCCCAGCACCACACAGCTCAGGCCCTAGTTACCCTGCCTGGAGGACAGATTGGGTAGAGTTTGCAGCATAATGTGACTCCAGTTCCACATGACTTATATAGACGGAGGAAAGAAAGCATCAACAAGTAACTACTGAGACATGGCCCAGTACAGCAAGACAGAGTCCCAGTGTCTAAGGAAACTTGTCAGTTAACAGCGAAGTCTAGACAGACATTCAATGCTGAATAACACATACTGTACCCTAGCACTGGCCTTTCAACAAAAATCTAGATCCAGAAATAATGACTTACCCAAAACCAAAGTAGGCCAATTGGCCAGCCTTGCCTTTAGTCCTTGATGGAATATTTCATGAAGGAACATGATTGTTTCACTATAAAAACATAGATAAACAATACCACTCAGTAACATAAAGCATCTGTCCTGCGAGAAGCCCAACAAAATATTAAAGTATTACTATCCATGTACATGATATAGCAGTCCCATGGGGCCTTCAAACTAATAGCATGGACCTTTTACCTGCCTCCATACAGCAATTTCTCTTTTAGCCTCAGAAACCAAGATGAACCCCAAAGTCAAGAGGACAGGATGCTCCCAGAATCTGCTTCTGTCTCACATTTATGGTCTTCTGCTCTTAAATTCAACATTCCAAGAAGAGCTTTACTCCCCCAGCTCTTCTGACAAATTCTAAGCAAAGGATTTCCTCTGGTGAGAGAGGGACTGCTCTTTCCTATACTGAAACCTGTCTGCTGCATCCCCCTTTGTATTTTGATACCTGAGTTAGGAAACAAGTGAAACCAATGTTGTACATAATTGGGAAAACCACATTTCCTTAGGTATAAGCTCTGCTGCAATTCAAGATAATTGGCCCGCCTGGGCTTCATTTCAAAGACAAGGGAATCTAGTTAAACAGCAACCATGACAACACATGCCCTGTGTGGCCACCCGTTTAAAATGTACCTCTTCCGTTCTCCGTCTAGGACTCGGTGTGCAAACAGTAGCTGGGCTGTATGAAGAGCTCAAAGTCTTAGCTTCCAATCAAGAGGCCTAACATTCACATTCTGAATGTAAACAGCGTTCTCCTAGCCTTTCCTTATCTAGATCAAGTAGTCCCATGGAAGTAAATCATCAGGGCAGCCTAGAACCAAGGGCCACACACTTGGATGGTCACTATCGGAGAGAACAGTTCACAGGCCTATGCACACCATCATCCACACATGCTTGGATAACTGTTTCCAAAATGCTCACAGCACTAGCTCAGGAAGAGGACGTGAGGGTGCAAATTCAAAGTGCCCCCTCCCATTGTTTTGACTTGCGAATCATATCACTGTGTTACCTACTCAAAAACAGATAAATAATTAGAATTTAAGTACAACACCCAAGACTTCCTCCCTCCACTTCTTCCTTTGTCTTATTTTTCTCCACAACATTGATCACTGGATCATATACTACATATTTTCATTTATTCGCTGTCCATTTCTGTTCTCACATTAAAATATAAATGTCATGATGGCAGGGGGGTTCTGCTCTGTCCATTAATTGATCTTCCGCATAAAAGGGCACTGCAAATACTTAGTGCAGAAATAAACCCAACAAGGATTCTCCAGCCATCTTAGTTTGCATGCGTCCTAAAATGCTTCTGTGTAAATTGCACAGAGAGACCCATCAATCACTCCGTCTCCTTCAGCTTGTAAGAGAGAGGATCTTCCACGCATACATACCCCCACACAGTAAGTAACAAGAACGCAAATGTCAAACAGAGACACAAACCGAGAAAATGAGATGTCAAGATTCAAGAGAAATGCAAATACAGACTAACAATGCCATTCAAGGATTGCATCCTTGTTCTTAACCTGAGAACTGCAAAGCTGAATCTGCAAGACCTCTTTTCTGACTAAAATAGGGGTGTTTTCAAGAAATGCCAGTGAGTTATTCCCAAACTATCCATTTATGCAAAGACAAACCTGTTGAGAAAAATGCTGCTGACATCATCATGGCTAATGGGGGGCTTCTTGGAGCTGGCCGCCATCCGCAGGGGCCGGAGGAAACCATTCACCAGGATGTAGAGCTGGTGTACGTACTCTGTCTCGGCTTCCACCATGGTGAACACGATCTGGTTTCTCTTCCTCATGCTCTCAGCATGGGGAGAACAAATGTAGTCCTGCACGATGGTCTTCCACTTCCTCCTGCACAGCCATCCTCGCATGAAGCTCTGAACCTACAGGACGAGGAAGCAAAGGAGTCTGGGAGATGAGACAGTACGTGGATAAACGCCACCCTTTGAATGGTGCGTTGACGCTTTCTTCAGTACAATGGCAAGCCTTCACCAAAGAGCAGGGGAAAACGATTTTAAACAGGTTTTCTGAGGTTCACAAATTTCCGTCACAGCTTAAAAGCATTAGACTTATTTATATAGACATTAGAATATACTACTACTGGGCTAATAATACTTTAAGACTTAGAGAATATATTTAAATAATAGTTAAAGGTTTGTTTTTAATAAGAAATAATCCTATATATTTTTATTTGTGGTTAAAAAAAAAATCTACCATCTTAATAATTTTTAAGTGCCAAAGATTGAACCCAGGGTCTTATGCATTCTAGGCAAGTGCTCCACAATTGAGCTCCAGACCACATTTTAGAAAATGATTTATTTATTGTTTGTGTGTGTGTGTGTGTGTGTGTGTGTGTGTGTGTGTGTTTGAGTTTACGTACATGTATCATGTATGTGTAGGAGCCCATGGAAGCCAATAGAGGACATTAGGTTCCCTGGAACTGGATTTACAGATGATTGTAAGCTACCATGTGGGTGCTAGGAACCATCCTTGTTCTCTGCAGGAACTGACCAATTTCATTTACTAAAATGTCTTCAAGGTTCACCCATGTTGAAGCATGTGCCAGGGTTTCTGTACTTTTTAAGGATAAGTGATATACCATTACCCATTTATCCTGCTCATCTCTGTTGGGCATTATGGCTGCTTCCATCCCTTAGCTGTTCTGAATAGTATTGCTACGAACACAGCTATGCCAATATCTCCTCAAGATCCAGACCTTGCTGTCATGTCTTTTGAAATCTACCCAGAAATGGGATTGCTGGGAAATGTGTTATTGAATTTCATTGAGGTTTATTTACCATTTTACAATCTATATCACACAGTTACCCAATTTCTCCACATCCTCATCGAAATGTGTCATTTTCCTCCTGTTTTTTCTACAGTAGCTGTCCCAGTGGATGTGAGGTTCTGTCTTCTTATGGTTTTGATCTGTACCTTCTCCAATGACTGGCTATCTTTGCATGTGTTTGCGGATCACTGGTGAAATGTCTAAATAGTGGTCTATCCAAGTACTTTGTCCATTTTAAACCAGCTGATTTTTTTTATTGATGTTGCATTTTGTTTTGCTTTGCTTATTTAAGCCTAAAAAATAAGTGTTGAAACTGGCTCATCCAATCCCTCCTACAAATGAGCAATCCGAGGTTTCAGATAAGCTGCAAGCTGGGGAAGCTGCAGACCAAGCCAAGGTCCTTTAACATGTCCTTCCTTGAGCTCTTATCGGCCGTGTGGACAGGACATACGTTATTCTTTGCAATGATGAATAACTTTTAAAGGAATAATTTAATATAACATCTCTTTTGTAGAAACATCATATATCCTTTAAAATGGATCTGAATTTCCTTGGTACAATAGGAAAAGTGCAAATCTGGGAAAGTGCACTAATCTGTGTGGTTCGACCAGTCAACAAACACTTGCTGAATATCTGTTAAATGCCCAGGTAAATGAAACCCTGAGAAAACAGCTATGTATCATAATCCTTTGCTCAAAGGCAGGGCGCTTTGAACTCCGATCCTGTTTCCTCAGAATGGACCCTAAAATAAAAGGTCCTCACTAACTATAAAAATTACCGGATAAGTAATTAGAAGATGTGGCACTTTAGAGATGACAGATTCAGCAAGGAGGCATATTTCAGGTTCACAATTCATTAAAATTTTAATTCCCTACCTGATCCCCTTAATATGACCATCATCTATTCAACATTACTGCAGCATGAATCTTAAAAGGTCTTATTAATAAAAATAAACCCAGAGCCAGGTATTGGGGTGAATGCTGAAAGATCAGAGAAACAGAACAAGCCACAGCTAACCTCGCCTCGCCAATTCCTCAGCTGATCTTGTTTCCTCAAATTGGAAGCCTCTGAGTCTTCATCCAAATGGATCTCAGCTTAACTGCTGCTAAAAGCTAAAAGCTTAACAAAGGCTCTAGTTCCTGGTCCTCACGCCTTATATACCTTTCTGCTTCCTGCTATCACTTCCTGGGACTAGGGTGTATGTCACCATGCCTGGCTGTTCCCAGTGTGGCTTTGAATTCACAGAGATCTAGATGGATCTCTGTCTCTGGAATGCTAGGATTAAAGGCGTGTGCTACCACTGCCTAAACCTATGTTTAATATAGTGGCTGTTCTGTTCTCTGACCCTCAGATAAGTTTATTGGGGTGCACAATATACCAACCACACATTCCTTTTTAATATCTCTTTCACCAATGTGATATAAATTGTCATGCATTTAATTTTGCAACACTTAAGATGTTGTCACATGCCTTCTAATTTTGACACCCCACATCAGTTCCCATATGGCCATTAAAACTGCTACACTCAAACAATAGACATTAAGCACATTTCAATAGCATTGTGTGAAGAAGTTCTATGCATACTATTTTGAGAATTCTAAAGGACTTTTTTTTGTGAATTATAAGCAATTTTGAGTTACAATCTTTTGAAGTCTTTTAGCCTTTTAGCTACAATTTGCCAAGATTAGAAAAGTTACGTGGTTCATTTGTAAACAACTTTTCCACAGACATTTATTTGATTTGGGACATTAAAAAATAATAGTTAATTTTGAAATCTATTAACAGGTTAAAAAAATAGGTTTAAAATTGCTTCTTTGGAGAATCACAAAGGTTCAAAACTATGTTTTTATTTTTGTTATTCTCTTATTTAATAGAAATAGGTTTAGAAAATTAAGCTCAATTAAAATTTGTGTTAAATAAAATCTTTCTATTCACTTTGGCAGATGTTCCCTGATGAACAATAGCTGCCTCATTTATTTACTAACAGATCAGCTCCCACAATATGGCTGAAAATTGGATATTATTAATATCCTTGTTTACATGCAACTGCATACTATTAAAAGAAGGTAATAGCATTAGTTTTGGAACACAGTATCATAAAACAGGTTCTAATAAAAGATTATAATGCTAAGAAAATAATAGCTTTATTTTACTTTATTATTTCTTGAAAGTTGAAAATGTTCAACGCAGTCCAAAGAATCTATTCCAAATTCTGAACGTTTGGTTAAAATTTTTTATATCTAGCAGGGAATAATTATTTAATATAGAAATATAATTTCTTCCCAACTATGAATGCAACAAAATCAGGAGTTTCAACAGCACTGCATTCACCCAATAGAGTACACTGCTGTCTAAATGTGTGTTTTTAGCGTTCTTCCCAGAATCCAAAAGGGAAGTTCTAGTTCTGGAAAGAAGTCTCAGGCTGAAATTTTCCAGACTGGTGTGGATCCCAATGAAGGGACAGTCTGGAAGCCATTTGTAGAAACACCAAGGCTGTCACCAGCTTGAGGACACCATAACAAAGTCGCCATCACAGAGCAGACAACTGGTCACCATGCTCCCAGAAGCCTCCCACTTCTTACCTTTTTAATCTTCTTGATGTCTGGATCCTCATCCTCTTGATGGCTGTGGTAAGGGCGCATCCGTTCCTTGGTTTTATTAAGAGCAACAATCTGTAACCCAAAAGAGGTCCATTTCAGGATTTGGGAAATGGTGGTATACAGCCATACTAAAGAAGTTCTACCCATGAAGACATCCAGAAACTGTCATTGTGTGTGCCCTCTCCTTATTTGGTGCTCTGATGCAGGGAACATGAATCTTACTCCAAGTGCTGACAGGCAGTGATCCACAAAGTGTGACCTGAGGTTTGCCTTAAGACAAATACTAGTCCAGAACTTAGCCCTGACAGACCAGGCCAATGTCTCCTCACCACCCTGCCTGAAGGTAGATGCCATGAAGACAGAGACACTCAACTTAAAGCTCTTGTAATCAACCAGTGGTTTTTGAAGTGTGTATCCCACAGTCCTTGTGCAGTCTTTGAGACAGTGGCTACTATGGCAACCTCGGTGTCCTGGGGTTGATGAAAAGGGCCAGTTCAAAGAAGCAAAGAGGACTGTAATAAACTGGCCCCGTGTGACCTGTAAGAAGGAATTTAAGACCCAGTGGCTTCTTGCCTCCACAGCAGTACAGTTCTCTAGTGTAGCCCCAATTGTGGTTCACACAAGCCTAAGAACTTAAATAGAATCATTGACAAGCCAACACTGAAAAGGTCGGAAGATTGCCCCCCCCACACACCACTGACCTGTCTCTGTCTTTGGATCTTATCCCCAAAATCAAATATACTCTACTTCCATTTTCTAGGAGAAAATGGGAAGATAATGGGATAAGAAACAATCCCTGTCAAGCAGCTACAAAAGACTACCAAAAAAAAAAAAAAACAACCCTGCCTCTGACTAAAGCAGAGCATAATGGAGACAGATAAACACACACAGGCAAATATTGGGGAGCACTGCTTGGTGCTGAGTTCCTGTCGTGGTGTAAATACCAACCTGCTTCACTCAGTAAACAGGCATCTGCTCTGGTGTACCGGGGCAGAGAAAGAACACAATAATTTTGTTTTAAATTACATGCCTGATATAGCCTTTTAAAATGCAGGTTTGTTAAGGTTTCTGTTGCTGTTTTCACTGTATCAACTCTCGGGGCTGCACAGGGGAGGCTGGTGAGTCTAATGATACAGTGAACACACTTGGCAACTCATCGTCCCTAAAGGAGTTCTCGTCTCCATGCTCGAGCCAGATATGCTGAGGGTCCTACTCTCAGGATACCTGGGAGCAGGAGGTGAAACCCACGCAGGAGGCACAGTGAGCCTCAGGGAGGTGTAAGAGAATGCAAAGGAAATGTTTGCACAGTAAAAATGGCAAGAAAGTTGTCAAAGCTGAGAAGCCTGTCAGCAAGGATCCATGACTACTACCTTCGGCACCCTATCCTTTAGATCTAAGAGACCAGTGTACCTCTGGCTAGAACAGAGAGGACAATCTAGTCTCTCCATCCCTCCTCCATTCTTCAGTTACTGCTCACTTGCTGTGAGCACCCACAAGAGAGCCTGGAAAGGTCTCTGCATAGATTGTGACCTGGGACCCAGGCACAGCCCCTCGGCTATAGACTCAAAGACTACCTACTCCATCACGTAACAGTAACGCCACCCTGAGGTTCACCAGAAGTGCACATTGAAGGAATGGGGGCCAAGGGAGAGACAGAAATGCCCCACAGTCAATCAGTGTCTTCTTGTTTAGCCCAACTGTGCTTCTCAGAATTCTGCAGGGGGCAAGCTAGAAGTAAAGTGTTTTTCAATTTCCATCTGGTCCTTCCTTGGTTATCATTTGGGACTTTAAGTTATCCTATGGCAGACTTACAGCTATTACTCCAAGAGTTTACCTGATGACTATTATAAATATATATACATATTATACATATATATTTAGATATATTGTGCTTCTTATCTAACAAAGGACATTAGGGGCACACATAACAACAGAAGATTCCATGTTTATCATGGTGGTATCTTCTAGCAACACATCTATGTGACCCTGAAGCCGACAATGGATCCATGTCTAGATCAGCAGCCAGCCATACATCTGTTGATAGCAGAGCTCAGCATTACTTTTTTTTCCTGAGATTATCTTTTTCTCCTGAATATTCGACAGGTATTCACGAGGAAGTAACAGAAGGCAGGAAATACCTCTGATTTAAGCCTTTCAATTTCGGTGTCTTGATCTTCCAGCTGGTGTCGAAGTTGGTTAGCGGCAATTTTTTCTGTCTCCACGATCTGAACTAGATGAATGTACTTCTGCATTAGCACTTCCCTTTCAATCAAAATGTCCGCGTAACTTAAGAGAAAATTGCACAGTTAGTCACTGGCATGTTGCTCCATCACCATTTCACATAGCAATGCTCACACACTTAAAAAGGGACCCACGCATGTTGTTTGACTAGTTCTACCTTACATGCTAACCTGCCTCATACAGTTGGCGGCTCCATAATATAGAATTTCAGTATTCATCATATTACATATTCTCCAACTAAGAATCCATTTAATGCTGGCTGCTACCCACAATTTTAACATGACTATGAGAAAAAAAAAGCCAAGGAACTCCAACAGATTTTAATATGAAAGTGTATGACTTCTTTAAGGAAGAGATTGAGTATTTTGAATTGATGCCATTAGTCTTCAATGATGGGATTCAAAGTATTTCATCAACCAGTGAAATTGACCTTCTATTGGCCAGAATGAAGACGGCAACCCTGAGAACAAGGTCTGTTCAGGAAGAACTGTTTTGGCTATCATGGAGACCGCCCATTCTGTGGGGTACAGATTATCCACTACTCTGTTCTGAAATGAGCAGAAGCCACACACATGACAGAGAAAGTTAAACTCTTTGGTCCCTGACTTCAGCACCTCACCTATGTCCATTTCTTCAGCTAAGCACGATAGAGAAAACCTGCTCTTAATTTTCACTAATAATGCAATATTGAGGTGCCTGGAATATGATGCAATGTCAAGGCACTTGGAATATGATGTAACATCGAGGTGCCTGGCATGTAATACAATGTCAAGTCGCCTGGAATTTTACATTAGATCCTTTTGCACTGTTTAGGGTGGTAAGGTGCATGTTCCTCTCCTCATAAAACCTTTTCCAAATGGCCTGATAACAGTTGTAATTAGCAATGGACACTACTTGTTGGGTGTATAGGGCGAATCATACATTTTCTCGTTGCGTACTCCCTGTAATACAAGAGGCGAGGTTTATGATCACAATCCGAAGGGGAAGAATTGGTTCCCAGAATGCATACTGACCCCAGGGTTAGGATCAAATCAAAGTCTGTCTGACCTGAGACCATGATATAACCACAAGCCAAATTGCCTCTCAGGGGAGAGACAGCACCAGACCCCTTGGAGGCTTCTGCCAAACCCCCAGGCTGCTTGTCTTTGCTCTGGGGCTTGACCCACTGAAGCCATGTTTGTGTCTCAAAACCTCCCTCAAGATCACGGTGAACGAACATGGGAGGAGACGCCTGTGAAACCTGGGTCAAATGGAAGTTTTCTCCATGGAATCCTGCTCTGTGTGCTCTAAGTGAGATGAAAGGGGCCTGGGAACTCAGGTCGCCATTGTTGGGCAGCCTTGGTTAGCCGCCCCTTCCCAAAGCAGCCGCAGGAAGTCTGCTGAGGAAGGAAAGCATAAGCAGGTGCTCAGAAAAGCAAACACAAAATGAGCAGAATGTCAGAGAGAGAGAGAGAGAGAGAGAGAGAGAGAGAGAGAGAGAGAGAGAGAGAGAGAGAGAGAGAAAAGTAACTACCTGGGTTCTGCTTTCACAACATCTGAGTAGAGTTACACCCCGGAGTTCAGAGAGTCGTGTGGTTTCCTTCTAGTAAATTCTTTTTCTAACCACTTTGAAATAGCATTGTATCACTGAGAACGAGGAAGTCTTGGGACCACACTAAGGTCACACGGTAGCTGAGTCACCTGACACACTGACATCACATGTGTTGGCGAGGATCCCAAGTTAGCAGCGATCTCAAGTCACCTGCTCTAAGAAATCTGCCCCTTGAGCTTAGAAAGAAGGACCATGCACCTATACGAGTGGAAAGAAAAAAGACAGGGTAGACTTTTTATAAGTCTTCCTTCCTCCAAAGCAGAGGTCCTCAACCTATGGGTCGTGACCCTTTTGCGGGGGAGGTCAAATATCAGATATCCTGCATATCAGATATTTACATTGCAATTCATAACAGTAGCAAAACAACAGTTCTGAAGTAGCAACGAAAATAATTTTATGGTCACCACAGCGTGAGGAGCTGTATTAAAGGGTCACAGCTTTATGTGGGTTGAGAACCACTGCCCTAAGGGGAGGGGGCAGCAACAGAGCATCAGAAACAGGACTATAAAAATTCTGTCCTTCATTGTCAGCTTTACCCGAGACACGTGGAAATGTCTACAAATGTATTAGATCAGCATTGGGTGGCAGAGAAGCATTTTTGTTTTATCTTTAAAAAAACCAATCAGAAAGAATGAGAAGGGAAAATCAAGTCCAGGCTGACAGGTGGGGCTGAGCTCTGTAGACTCCTTGGCTGACACTGGCTGTCCCCCTTCTCCAAGGTTCCAATGCAACGTTAGGAAACATCGACTTGTTTGTTCTTAGTGAATGAAACTGTGACAATATTGAAAAAGACACTGTTAACAGACCAAGTATTGTATTTTATGAACTTCAGTCAAAAAAAAAAAAAAAAAGACTGAGCAGAATTCATTTGGTGGGGAGACTGGAAGAGAGGAAATTGAAGGCGTAGAGCCCTACATGAGACTATGAGATGGTGCTCACCAGGGTTGTCCCAGAGAAGCACCGAACACAGAGCCAAATAATGCTAAGGATAAAAGCTGGCATGGGATGGATCGGGAAGAGAGCCTGCAAAAGGTCGGGAAGTTGGGCTCTTCATCCACACCCCAAGATCACAGCCCGTGATCTGTAGAAAAGTCGGCCACCTTCCTCAAGACGGTTGTGCTCAGAGAGGGAACAGAGCTTAGGTCAGTCCTGACACCCACTGTCAACATAAGGAAGACCCAAACAAGGAAAGCGATGTGAGTGCCTGGCAGGGAAGCACGCGGGACCAGCTCCCTATTGTGACCAGCTCACCACAAACTCGGTGGCTGGAAACAACACATGGATTATGAAGTGCAGCAAGGAGGTGGACGGTACTTCCAAGGTGACGTCACAGGAGACTCTGGCTTCCGTCTTGCCTGCCTTCTCTTGCTGCTCTACTCAGAGGGCAGGCAACTGGCTGGCTGTGAACTGCTCTGTCCAGAGGTTCATGATGAATAGAAACCGAGGAGGGTCTCTCACCTACAGTCCTCTAGAGGCTCAGCTCAACAATGCATAAGGAAGGGGACCCAGCCAGCATCTGCAGACACAGACAGTAGCAGACCTTTCCCAACCCATGCGTCCAGAGAAGCCCACAGACCTGCTCAGCAGCTTGTGAGAAACTCCTAAGCAGAGGCCACCAAGCTAATCCTTGCTCAGACACCTGGCCTGCAGGCTGTGGGGTATAATGAGTTCCTTATTGTGGTAATCACTGTGGAGTCAACCGTTAGACAGTAACGGATAGCAAACACAGCCCCAAATGAACAAACAGAAAAGCTGCCGCAAGAAGCAAGGGTCATTCTGGCAGCTGAGTTACACTGTCTTCAGATTAAGAGCCATGAAGCAAGCAGGCTGCCATGGAAATGAAGCTATCAGATAGAAAAAGGAGGCAGGGAAACAAAGCCTAATTGCTAAAATTCTACGGGTCAATGCACGTCAGAAACCGTAAGTCAGACCCAGCTGATGACCAAGCTGAGCGGTCAGAGACCAAGAGTAATGTAACAGGCTGCTGCAGGATGAGACTCCAGGAGCAAACATTCAACGCTGTGTAATCATCCGTGTGCTGTGGGACCAAACACCGGCTTTAATACTTGGATATATACTGCTGCTCTGTCCACTGTGCGCATGTCCTCATTGCTTTGTCTTACAAACAAATGGAGTGAGTTACTGGTGGGACACAGTAGTGGGACACAGTTGCTCTTTCAACACGTGAAGCAGCAGGAGTCAAGCCAGGGATTTGCAGAGTTTCTCCTCACCAGGAGCCTTTGCTCTCCTCCCTTCCAGAGCTTCAGGAAATGCTGGGAGCTACCATCACCCCACTGGGCTGTCCAAAGGCAGGTCTTACTCTACCTGTGCCACCACACCCTCCCCACTGGCTTTTAATTTTCAGAATCCACCTGTGGCCAAATTCAGAGGCCTGATTGAATTTAGGGAACAGAAAATAAATGTGGAAAACTTTATAAAGTGATAATAAATAATAATAGACTCAATAAAAACTCAGCATCCAGAGAGAGAAAACACAATGAGAACATATGAAATGTCTGTGTCTGTTTAGCCTGCCTTGGAGAGATCAATACAAACTGTGCTGAGCTGATAAGTCAATAAGAGATGTAACTGCAGTATTTTAGGACAAAGTCAACTAACTTAAGAACTACAAAGATAAAAGCAACAGATACAGACAGAGCAAAAGACAAAATGTAAGAGGTAAATTGAGTTAAACGCTTCATATTTAGAACAAGTGGATAATATTGGATAAAATTAGACAAAGGGGTTTAATAGAATATAATAAGCCAATAAGTGTATAAAACACGTATACTTCTTAATCAAAAACTGGTTAAGACCTTCAAAAGGCATTAACATTTAGCATGAACAGAAGTAGAGTGGATTGGGTAATGTCACACGGTGTTCCAGAGCAGCCATTCTAGAAGACGATATTGCAAACATATCAAAGCAGGTGTGAAAGATTAGTCTTTTGCATTAGTGTTTTCATTTCTACAACATAAGTCAAAAATGTAATCAAATTTTTGCCAAGATGTACAAAGAAACAAGATGTTCATTCATTAACACAAAAGATACTGAGACAATCTACTATACACATTTGTAAAATCATCAAGCACAGTATATCAGGATTATTGCAAAGTTATTTAAAAATCTTATTTTAAAAACTAGCTATAAAGAGGACCATGACAGTAGCCCATTGATAGAGTACTTGCCTCACACACATGATAGCCTGGGTTTCCCTCCAGTACTGCCAAAAATAGGTGTAAAATAACGAGTATACCAGCCGGGCGGTGGTGGTGCATGCCTTTAATCCCAGCACTTGGGAGGCAGAGCCAGGCGGATCTCTGTGAGTTCGAGGCCAGCCTCGTGTTTCCTTCTTGTGTGGCACTTGAGCTTGGTTTTTAAAATGTGCCAATATGTGTCTTCTTAACAAGATCATCTTGGCTGTTGTAATGGGGAAGACAGGGGTGGCAAGTGG